TTTTCTTAGTACTCTAGTATAATAGTTGTTGTTGTGTTGTTTTTTTAAAGTTTAATATATATATATATATATATATATACACACCATGGTATACACATACAAAATCTTGCACTCTCCAAATTTATAGATATTTGCATATAATAAAATATAATTATACTCCTATATTACTAAATAATATACAATCAGTAATTTTTCATCTTATGAAATATTTTCACATAAAAACAAACCTTTGTAATCTTCTTGGTTTACTTTCATTATATTTTTGGTTTTTCAAGAAATGAGTAAAACAACACATTTTGTTTCTGCTAGATAATAAAAACACTGAAGATTTATCTTGTGATAGTTAACTATTAAACACATACATATATATGCTCATTTTCTCAGTTTAAAGTTTTTTCTAGTTGCATAATATGTTTCTTTAGAAAGGCCTACTTTATAATGTAAAACTAGTTGTACCTCATGCTGTAAAAATCTTTTTTGACTCATGTTTCCGATTTGGCAACAAACAAAAGACACATTTTACCATTCCAAAATTTTCATTATATTTCTTTTCATTAAAATTTCATTTTAACAGAATTGCAGAAATTCAATGCACAATAATCAATTTTAGATATGGTATCCATTCTTTTTGCCAAAACATAAAAGTTTAGAAAGCCAAATTTACCTGATCATGTTTCATTGAAAAAACATTTAAAATTTAGATCTGGTATTAAGGTGTAGTAAAATTAAATGAAAATGGCATGTTTCCAGAATTTCAAATGAGGAAAGATATTCTTTCTTAAGATAACACATTATATTGAATATTTTATCATTTGGAATTTTTCACTACCTGAAAAGTTATCATTCAAATTTTTTCGATAACATTGTTATAAAATGTCTAAATCACATTCTTAGCATCTTGCTTGTCATTTGCATCATACTTATATAATGTGTCATGAAGAAGAATCAGATGTTGCTTCATCACTTCACAGAAGCCTTTGATGAATGTCCAAAATAGAACTAGTTAGTTTACCTAAGCTAATTAATAATCTTTAAAACAAAAAGAAATTAACACAATTATTTCATACACAAGAATTTCAAAAATTCCAGAACAACTTACTTCATAATATATTTGACTTTCTTGAGAGTGTCAGCTTTTCCTCTAATCAATAATGGGTTACCTTGATGGCTATCACTCTTCCACAAACTGTACAATCTAAACCTACAAACAAACAATACATAACAATTGCTCTAATATAAGCCTTACAATCTAAATGTATACACCACTAACCTCTAATCCTGAATTTCAGTTGTATTCTGTACATAGAGCTATATTTACAGATTCAAAAACTCTATGTACTGAAAAAAAAAGATGACAATTGCATTGCTTCATTTTTCCATTAACTTAACTTTTTCCCTATACATATCTTTTGTATAAAAGTTATATTATCTATCCCTATTATCACAACAAGCATTCCTTTCATTAATCATGAATTTACATAACTTCCATCGAGGAGATGGGTACTCCAGCTAGTAAGAAATATTTTACCAATGTTCAGTGAACAACAAAGCCTGAAAATTACACATAATTTATCTTTATTTCATGTCAGAGAGCAGCTAGCAGTATGAGAATTACTGGTCTTCCACAAAACTTTTTTTGTTTAACAGTGTAAGTTAGACAACTTGAAAATACATATATTTTACATAAAAGTTAAAAATAATTTTCTACCATCTAGAACTGCAATTCTCAAACTTTGTTGTTCGAAGAACACAATTTTTTTTCACATCAATGGACTGCAATAGGATCTATACACTATGCTATTGCTTCCTATCTATAATTATGAAACCTTTCCATGAACCACCTGAAGGAAGCCTGCAGAACAAAATATGAGAACTGCTGATTTAACATTAGAAAAATACGTACTTTCATAATTCTATTTTATTAATTTGTATACATACAAATTTTAAAACTGAATATTACACAGTATACAACATATTTTTACCTCTTCTGATATGGGTACATCTTCAGTAGTCCCCACAGTTCTTCTGACATACAACAATTTCCATCCAGTAAGGCAAGAGATGGCAGAAGACATTCATGGATAACATTTAAAACAGCATACTTCAACACAGCATCAGTTTCTTCATCCTTTTTAGTGTGCGTATGGGGAGGGAGAAATCCATTTACAAACATAAATTACCAAATGCTCACAATGTTCGTTGTATCAGAAGTGCAAAAATATAAATAATCCTGTAATCCTCATTGAGGACATATTTGAATTTTCAAGTTTGTGCCAATCTACACACTCCATACAACCACAAGTTAACACTTTCAACTTAAAAAAGCAAGTTTGAATATAACCAACAAAAAATATCTTTAATGACAATAAAGCTCATTAAAAACATAACTTTTTGCTACATCAAATTTATGTAATTTATAAAAATTCAAATTCTGTTAACAAAGAAAAAAATAAGTCTTCAGTATGAAAATTAGTTTTACATGTCAGTTTTGTATTTAAAAAACCTTATGTATGTGAGATCTATAACAAAGTTAATAGTACAACTCTGTTGTCACTTTCTATGGTTCCAAACATCTTACTGAAGTTTACTTAGGAAAGCATTAAAGCCAATGAAGCAGACATTTGGCAGAATGAGCCATAAAATTATTGTGGTGGTTAGCAGATACAAACACAAGTCCATAAGATCAAATATGCTTAAAACCATATATTATTCGAAGAAGGTGAAACAAAATTTGTAATTTTAAAAAACTGTATGTAACACTAAATATTATAAAACTGTTAAACACTTAAGTAAAATGCTAGTAGAAGACTCAGGTTATTAATAAACAAGTGGCAACATTTAAATCATTTTTTGCTTAAACAATAACTTAAAAGTAAAGTACTTCCACTGAATTGATATAAATTTAAGACATTTTTCAGAAAATAACAAATATGCAGTTATCTAAACCCAATGGGTTTTTGTTTGGAAAAATAAAAAAACTTATTTGTGTATATTGCTTCTTTGTTTGAAAAAAAAAATGTTCAATCTGTTTTGGCACGTTAATAACTCAGGCATACATCAATATTTCTGTTATTATTTTGTGGACTGAGTCTAACCATGCTCATAGTACAAACAAACATTAGACATGTTAATATCAAACAGGCAAAAGATGAGCATCATTAGCTGAACTTTGCCAGTTGCTTTACAAGTGTAAACATGTGTAAACCAACCTCATATTTCATGTTAGATTTTACCTTTTCATCCTTTTTTTTTTTTCTGCAGTTCAAATATTCTTTTACCTATTCTGCTTCAGTAGCCAAAGAAATTATAAAAAACATCTACATACCAGCAAGTAATTGTGAGAGACCCCAAAACATTTTGTTGTTAATGTATAAATAAATTATTCATACTTTGTGTTTTACAGTGTTGAGTCCTTTCCTTTATTCTCTGTATAGCAATGTATTTCAACCACTGGTCCATCATAACCACCTTGCTACTCTGTGCAATTTCACAAAAACAAACAAACAAAATCATAATGGTTTTCATTGTACTTGCATTATAGTGGTCCACAACAGTACAGGGAGGCAAAGAGCCAGTCTTTCGTATTGAAGAAGTTGAGAAACACTGCTATGTACCATTTTCTAAATGTGCTGTTCATTGTGGATCTTAATCAAGTGGTTTAACCATTTCCATACAGGTCACATGTGAAAGGTCATGTCATCTTGTTTGTTGACTCACATTCAAAATTTTACTGATTTTTATTAGATGAATTTATGTCAATAAGTTTGGTATCAAACTGAAGATTATAATTCAAACTTTAGAACTATATATTACTTAATTTGTTAATTTAAAAGTAAATATTAAACAACACAGATAAACATCGATTTTTGTGTGTCAGGTGTTATGTTGAATGCAGCATTTCTTCAAATTAGATGTTTGTGAAGTCAAAATACTAAGTCTATAGTTTTATGCAAATTAGCAACTCAAATTACAGATACTGACAAACTAGAATATAAAGTAAGAAGGTTTTATCTTTTCTATTTGCTAAGATATTGC